AGTCCTCTGTGTTTGATCTAGTGACATTGTATCCATCAGGGACATCTCCTTTTTCAATGCTGCTGACACCATATGAGTACTGGATCAGACTCAGCCCATGGCCCAGGTCTTGTCGATACCAGTACATATAGTCATGGTTATCAGTCTGGTGACACCTTAGGGTCACTTTCTTTTCTGTCTGTGTGACCTTGTATCTTGGACTCTGAGTGATTCGGGCATCCAGGTGTCCTGTAAGAGAGAGTGACAGAGCCTGATATTGTCATCCTAAGACAAAGGCTTGGGTTGAGGTCTTGGGAATCCAGAGCAGGAAGCTCACCATACTCACCTGCCCAAAGGAGACAAAGAAACACCCAGAAGAAGAACCTGGTGACCATTTCAGGTCCAGGGCAGAATCTCATGTCTTCCTGTTCTGTTTGGGGGAAATAGACTCAGTGATGTCACTGTCCTTGACAAATGCTTGAGCTGTGGAGCTAACCTGCCACACTCCTTCCCCACAGGAACAAATCAATGATCCTCTCAGTTACAGGAACCACCTGATGTCCAGGAAGTTTTTAAAACCTCAAGGTCAGGCTGAGCCTGGCCTAGGGATGGACTTCAGTCCTGAGGGCCATGATGCCCACTGCTGTAAGAGTCCTGTGCTGGCAGGAACTTCCTGGGGTTTAGCCAAGCCTCAGAGTGCAACCTCAGGTTTTCTAACCATCCTTTTTGTGCAGAGAGGAGGCAGCTATGCAGCGCTGTGTATTCACTGCTGGCACAGAAGTACACAGATGTCTGGGAGGGTGTCGCTGACTCCAGTGTGAGGGCAAAGTTCTCTGTATTTGATCTAGAGGCACTGTACCCATTGGCACCATCTCCTTTGGCAGTGATCCCAGCACCAACTGAGTAATAGATCAGCGTCAGCTCATGGTTCAGGTCTTGGCGATACCAGTACATATAGTTATGGTTATCAGTCTGGTGACAACTCAGTGTCAAATTCTTTTCTGTCCCCACAACCTTATATCTTGGGCTCTGGGTGATTTCAGCATCCAGGTTTTCTGTAAAGAAAGCCACAGACCTGATGTTGTCATCCTAAGATGAAGGCTTGGGCTGAGGTCTTGGGAATCCAGGGCAGGAAGCCCCCCTGTACTCACCTGCCCACAGGAGACAAAGAGCCACCCAGAAGAAGAGCCTGGTGACCATTTCAGGTCCAGGGCAGAATCTCATGTCTTCCTGTTCTGTTTGAGGGAAATAGATTCAGTGATGTCACTGTCCTTGACAAATGCCTGAGCTGTAGAACTGCCACACCCCTTCCCCACAGGAACAAATCAAATATATATATTTGAATAGTTCGAGTGGAAAAATTTTGTAAGTCTGTTTTTTAAGAAATCTTTTAAGTATATTTGCTTCTCCCCCCCCCCCCCCCCCGCTTTTGGGTAAGGAAATTTGTCCCTCTATGCATAGTGACATAATTCCTTATTTGTATATTGTTACAATTATTCACAATGTCTCTGGTACTTTGGTGACTTCACTTCAAAATTTATCTACAGATACTTTCTACTAGTTTTCCTCTGCATAAATTCTGGATAATTTAGATGTAACCCTTCAGCGAGCCTCTCAGTTACAGGAACCACCCGATGTCCACAAAGTTTTCAAGGCCTCAATGTCAGAGTCATTGGATTCTGAAGAAGTGTTTTATGTTGTCTCACAATTTTCTGACTGATGGGAGCCCTGCCATCCGTGCTCTGGTTCCTGTGTGCTTGTGAATAAGAGTTCTCCCTTGGTTTCAGCTGAAGCCACAGAAGACTGGACCACCCAAGTTCTCGTGTCTGCTTTTTGTAAAGAAGAGAGAAAATTCATTAGCAATGTGGAAGAAATATTCAGCCAGAGCTACACGTGTCTGATGCCTCCAGGATCACAGTGAAATGTTCTGTCTCCATTGAGAGGTCTTGCACCCACACAGAATGGGAGAATATTGATTGAATCATAAGTGAGCTACAGTGACAAGCTTGTAACTAGTCAATACCACTTGGAGCTGCTATTTTTTATACAGGTTATATCTCAGTGTGAGGCGACCCCATTTCTATGACTGCATATCTTGATGTCATCTCGGTGGGCAACTATAATCACACCACAGTGAGAAAGGACAGGAAATCAGAAATCAGAGGTGAGGAGGAGGTTTATGCGTCATCTCATGGAAAGGCTGGCAGCTTGGGGCTTGGCCAACCCAGGAAGGGCCTTTACATCTTATCCATGATTTACTTGGTCCAAAGGGACCAAGAGCCACACAGCAAAGGAGCGCACTTCCTGAGACAAGATCAGTGCAAAAAAGAAGAGTTTTTCATCTAGGACTCATATTATTTGGTTTAGAGTACATGGAATCCCAGAGATTTAAGGAATGCTCTCAGAATAAGGCATAATCTACCCATAATATTAGTATTCTTGATAATACCTTAATTTCTTTAAGGACATAAGCATTCACCAGGACAAGTTTCTTTGTAATTTATTTTTAAATTAATTAGAGTCACAAATTTGAAGTTGTGGAAAACAGGTACCTCATCTCAAAGCTTTTGCTGGGTTTTTTATTTTTTACACTGGTGTCTCCCAAGCACCTGGAGTAGTGCCTACACTATGGTAAGTCGTGAAGCATGGATTGGCTATGCAGGCAATAAAGAATAATTTTAGGCCTTCTCATTTGCACAGGAACTTACCAAGACTTCTGAAATATTTTTCTATTCTATTCTTCAAAGAGCACCCTAAAATTTGATAAGCTTTCATCCCCACAAAGTCCAAACTACTCTGTACCTGTATTCAATTAGTGTTTGTTCAATGAATGATGAAAAGAATGAATGATTATCAGAGTCCAGGCAGACTGCACTTCTGTAAAGATAACCCAGTCTAGTCAGTTACAAGTAGGTTCAGAGCTTGAAGGGAGCAGAGACCCATGTGACTCTGCTGGGAATTCAAAATAAACCAAAGTGAATGGGGGAAAGATTCATTCATATATGTTATTATAAGACTTTTTGTTTTTATAGGCCTTTTTGAATGAATGGTTGTCAGAATGAAAGACATAAACATGATGGTCACTTCCTTCTATCACTGTCACTGTTTAGGCTGCCCCCAGAGGCACAATCTGAGATGAGAATTTAGGTGCAAGTAGTTTATTTAGAAAATGATCTCAGGAAGCAGGAGTTAGAGTAGCGAGGAAGAAACTAGGAAGGAGAAAATCAGAATAAGGTGCAATATTGCAGTTGTGCAGGGACATCAGGAGATGGATTTTGTTGGAACCTTCAGAGAAGCACACAGACCACCTCCTGAGCTGTCCTCCTGGATACAGAGGCTGAGCTTTCATCCCTGGCTCCTTTCCTTCCAGGAGCATTAGCACTTCTGCAGCTCTGGCTGCCCTGCTGTGCAGGCCATGTGGGCTCCCATGATAGAGAGGAGGCCAGAGCAGAAAGCAGAAGGGACTCCCAGCCTGCAGGTGATGGGGTGCTGTCAGAACCAGGAGAGTTACATACAAACTTGCATGTAACTCTCCACTGCAGCTGAGGCTGATACCAGAGGTGGGCCAGGAATGGATGGACGGCACTAGAGGCTCCACTATGATGGTCTCTCTTCACACAAAATCTTCCCTTCCATCAGCTCTTCTGTGTGATCACCAATCACTCCGAAGTCACAACTTTCTGGAAGCACCACACTTTCTTGCACATCAGACTTAACATCAAAAGGAAGTGCTGTTCTGGGTCCCCTTTACATTTTCCCTTAAGAAGCACCTCTCTGAAGTTAATTTCATCCAATAAATTATCAGATGACAGTATTTGCATTTTAGAGGAGTTTCTGTCTGAACCATATATGAGTCAGGCAAAAGTAACCCCTGCCTGCCTTTGATCCCAGAACTGCACATATGAAATAATTGTGCTAGACTAGAGATAGGTCAAAGAGTTTATAGAGAACAATAGTGACATGAGCGTATATGTTTTTATTAAATACTTTTGCTTGTGCAAAATCTCTGCAAGACATACATTATTGCCCCCAGGTTACAAATGCAAAAACTCAGACAAATAGCTTCTGAGTCAACATCCCAAGTCAGGTCAGAATATGAACAGACAGGTCCAGGAAGCTGGATCTCTTTCCTCTCCAGCAGGTCCCCTCCCAGGTGAAAGCTGTTATGCAAATGCTTTGTGTTACAGCCTGCATTTCTGAAAGGGACCTTTGGGTCAATGTTCCCATTTTGAAGATGACTCTCTCTACCAAATGCAGAAGGGTGGGGTGATTTAAAGCATGGGTGGAAGTCAGTATCGTCCATGTCTGTGTCCCAATTCTGATATTTGTTAGCTGCATCTTCTTTACCCAAGTATCCAAACTCTCTAACAATCAATGTTTTCACTTGCAATGTGGGTGATTTGTGCTACCTCCCAGAAAATGCGCAATAAAAAAGGTGATTGAGTTAAATGCACAAAATATGTAAAATTGAAGTCGTTTCTTCATTCACCAATAAATTTGTACCCCAGGCCATAAACGTCTACACCATTCATTTAATAGCTATGATGCTCAGCTGTTTTCTGCAGTTTCTGGCCTGGGCAGAAGTAGCGATTTCAGATGTTCTGATGGAAAGTGGGGACCTGAGGTCAAGCTGAGACCCTCCCTCCACCATACCCTCCAGTGATTTAGAAACACTGATTCCCTGTAGTAACTCCCAGAATCCTGCCTGAAATACCTGGAAGGCTTCTGTTTCCTTGGTGAATCTTCTGCTAGTCTGGAAATCGCCCGAGTCACTTAGCTCTTCTATCAGGGGGGACATCATGGCCTCCCTCTATGTGGACTAGGACAGGACAGATACACGTTCTCTGGCCCCACTTTATCACAGGTGGAGTTCCTGCAATGTGCTAGGAATTGCCAGGTCCTGGCAGAGGTGGGAAGACACTCAGGAAAGCTCTGGCTGAGCTCAGCAGGCCAGTGAGAGTCTTAGAAAAAAACAGAAGCCCTGGAACTCACTAAGGCCCCCACACTCTCCTGTGACATTCTCAGCTGGGGCAGGGAGGTTTGAGTACAGAAAGCCATTGACCCTGCAGGGCTGTGTCTAAGCTGCTGGCACAGAGATACACGGCTGAGTCTCCCAGCTGCAAGGCGCTCATGGCCAGCTCAGAGCTGTAGTTACTGAACTGTTTTCCTGAGAACCGATCTGGGATGTTTCCTTTCTGTCTCTCCTCCTCTTCATAAAAACTAATGAGGAACTGGGGGCCCTGTCCCAGAGTCTGCTGGTACCAGTACACAGTATCGTGTCCAGAGATAGGATGGCACTTCAGAACAGCCTTCCCCTCACGACTTTTGATTAGGTGTCTTGGGGACTGGGTGACTCCAGCAGCCACTGAACCTGTGGAGGAAGCAGACAGAAGCTGGAGACCAGCACAGGAAGGACATGGATACTCGGCAACAGTTAAGAACTTTAGATTCAAGGGTTGTCCCACCTGAACTCAGGACTCACCTGCCCCCAGGAGACAGAGGGCCACAGAGCAGAGGAGCCAAGAGCCACTGGGAGAGTCAGAAAGGGCAAGACGGGCCATCTCCCTGCTCTGGGCTCTGGTGTTTGGGGTGAGAGAGCAGAGGCTTTTGCACCTCCCTTTGCTCTGTTTGGAGGGGTTGCCTATGATGTCACTGTTCTGATGTCACTGTCCTTGTAGGCTCCACAGGCAACTTGTACTTCCTGGACAAACTGAGCTGGTGCTGTTATTCCCCCATCTGTCCATCTTCCTATGAACAGGTGCTGCTGGCTGTGCTGAGCAGGACCAGAAAGGGTTTGTGACAGGTGACCATCCCCAGAGTTTCTTTGCTTCCTTGGAGCCGGTGCCCTTTGCTCTATACCTGGTTTGAATTATCTAGGCTGCTCACTAAAGGAAGTTCCATCACCCTCTCCACCAAACATAGGCTCCAGGAGAGGCCTTAACTCCACGTAGGACCTGGTTCATGGCTCTCTGATGTGACCAACATTCTTGCATAGCAGTAAATGTGAGAAGATATGATCAGCAAACCTCTGATTCATCTGATTTATCAGATAGTCTCCCTGACGTAGGGACCAAGTCAAGACTCTGTCTCCCACAGGGTGCCATCAATGGCTCACTCCGTGGATCCACAGCGCCCCCAAGCGGCCACTCGTGTAGTAGCAGTGTTGATACTGCCCAGACTGGCTGGGTTCTGTCTGAATTAGGAGTCAGGATCAGCCAGGACACTGGAAGCTCCTGCTGATGTGATGTTTACTGTTTCAGCTCAGTTTTTGCAGGTGGTAGTGAGGGAGGCATGGTGCATTTTTCTAAAAAGGGAATAAAAATTATAAATATCATCAATGAGTGTGCTGGGAAAGAGGACACCTTGCATTTGCTGCCTTGGATAGGGTCAGAGGGACCTTGTGTAAAGTGCTCTCTTTAACCAAAGATAATTCCTGGGGAGGGCTGACCTTGGGGTTCTAACAGCCAAAAAAAAAAAAAGCTAAGTAACTGGAAATCAACCCTCTGTGAAGGGGGAACTGCCTACTTAGAGATCCTGGAGGTTTTTTGGACTACCCTGTTCAACTCTTTTGTTCTTTTTAAAAATTGAATTACTTACCTTTTGTTTATTGATTTGTAGGAATTATTTATATTTTGGATACATGCTCTTTCTTAATATCTTTTGATGAACAGGAGTTTAAAATTTTGACAAAGAAAAATGTACTTTTTAAAGATTATAATATTTTTTGTCTTCTGTAAGAAATCTTTGGACTCCGAGGTCAAGAAGAGAATTTGCTCTGCTTTGTTTCAGAAGCTTTATAGATCATTGTAAATATTGACCCATCTCATACTCAAGTTTGCAAGAGTCAGCAAAAATGGTAAATATTTCCGGTTTTCTGTCCAGCTGCTCAGCTCTGCCACAGCTGTGCCAAAGCATCCACAGACACTGTGTATGGAGGGAGAGAGGCTGTGCTCCAATAAACTTCCTGTATCAAAACCAAAATCTGAATTTCAAATATTTTTCATATGTTACAAATATTATTATTTTTAAATCACTTAAAAATCTGAACATCATTGGTTAGCTTCTGGGCCCTCTAATAACAGGCAGAGGCCAGATTTTGCCCACTTCTGATTTATGAAGTGAGATAAGGATTGAGTTTCATTATTTTCCATATGCATACACTTTTTCCAACATCATTTTTGAAGTGACTATTTCTTCCCATTTTGAGCTACTTTTAGTGTTTGATCTAGGGATTACAATGTGCATCCCTAATTTACCAGAGTGTCCCTGCAAAAAGGCCTATTAACCATAGATTTTTCATAAGTGCCTTTGATCAGGAGAATGACTTTTTGAATTACTTCTAATTTACTAAGAGTTTTAATTGGGAACAGATGTAGGATTGTATCAAATGTATTTTGAGCAGCTATAGAGATGATCCTATGACCTTTCTTTATTTTTATTTGAGATGTTAAACTACATTTTGTACTCTTTGAATGTTAAACTGACTGCACATTACTGAGATAAACCTCACTTGGTCACAATGTATTAACCTCTGTAGCTGTTGTTGCATTTGATACTGGGATGAGCAGGGCATTATTCACTGTTTTTCAGATTTTCCACTAAGTACTCTTTTAGTGGCTTCCTACCAATTTTGATATGCTAGATGTTAGGGTTTGACTGGTGACTTGGGATATGAAAGAATTCACAGCTAAGAAAAGAGATCCAGTGAGGAAATTTATTTTACTTTCCAAGGGATGAAAGGGCTGGTGTATTGCTAGTCAATGCAGGGTAGGGAAGAAAGAGTGGCTTGCAGTTTTAAAGGGCAAGCAGTTGCTGTTGCTAAGCGACAAGGAAGGGAGGGGGATTGTGTTGAAGTTGACCAGATGCTGGGCATTGTCTTGAAAAGTTACAGTTTATTTGCTTTCCTGGAGACAGTCTGGCAGATGTTCTAAGGAGGTGTCTTATCAGTACTTTTCCCAAGTCTGTAAAACAAGCTTAGAACAAAAGTTATAAAGAGTTCAAAATAGGGCTTGTCTGAAGGGGAGGAGGGAGATGTAAAGGAGGAATTTTTGCTAACCAGCCTGAAGCTTTTAAAACAGCAGGTAGAAGGCCTACAGATATGAAAACATGCTCAAAGTCACTAATCATTCAAGAGATGCAAATCAAAATGACAATGAGGTACCATCTCACACCTGTCAGAATGGCTATCATCAACAAATCAACAAATGACAAGTGCTGGCAAGGATGTGGAGAAAAAGGAACCCTCATGAACTGCTGGTGGGAATGCAGACTGGTGTAGCCACTGTGGAAAACAGAATGGAGTTCTCTCAAAAAATTAAAAATGGAACTCCCATTTGACCCAGTAATCCCACTTCTAGGAATATATTTCAAGAAATCAGAAACACCAATTAGAAAGGATATATGCACCCCTATGTTCACAGAGGCACAATTTACAATAGCTAAGATTCAGAAACAGCCTAAGTGCCCATCAGCAGATGAGTGGTTTAAAAAATGGTGGTACATCTACATAATGGAATTCTATGCTGCTGTTAAAAAGAAGGAACTCTTACCATTTGCAACAGCATGGATGGAACTGAAGAGCATTATGCTAAGCGAAATAAGCCATTCAGAGAAAGATGAATGTTACATGACCTCACTCACTTGTGGGATATAATGAGCAACATAAACTGATGAACAAAAATAGATCCGAAGATATAGAAGCATTGAACAGACTGTCAAACCTCAGAGGGAAGGCAGGGGGAGGGGGTAAGAGATCAACCAAAGGACTTGTATACATGCATATGAGCATAACCAATGGACACAGACAATAGGGAGTTGAGAGCATGGGCTGGGGGGTGGGATAGGCTGGGAAGAGGTCAATGGGGGTGGGGAAAAGGAGACATATGTAATATGTTAAACAATTAAGAATTTGAATTAAAAAATAATAAAAGGAGAAGGCTTCAGATGAAGAAATAATAAAAATAAAACAGCAGGGAGGAGGGGTGGGGAAAGATTATAGCCTTGAGTATAGTCTGATCTGGTCCTGCTGTTTGAATAGAGAAGCTATTTAAATCAGAAGAGCTAACAATCTCAGGGTTTAATTATCAAGTACTTCTCATAAATTGTGGAAAGGCCACAACAAAGAAAAGGAGAGGCCTGTTTTCTGTCCTTACATTATATTTTCATTTTCATTTGGTTAAAGTCACTTTAGAATTTCCCTTTTGCTTTGTTCTTTGCCCCATAGGTTATTTAGAAGATTGTTATTTTCTTTCCAAATATTTGAGACTTTTCCAAGGCTCTTTCTGTTGTTGATTTCTAATTTAGTTCCTTGGTGTTCGGAGAACATGCTTTGTAAGATGGGTTCTTTTAAAGGTATTGATTCTTATTTTATCATGATTCATGTACACTCAATAAGAATGTGTATTCTGCTGCAGGTGGGTGAACTGTTCTATAAATGTCAGTTAGGCCAAGGCGATCAATAAGTTATTCCATCCATTACTGACAGGTGTTGAAATGTCTGACTATAATTATGAATTTGTCTTGTAGGGTCCCAGGACCCCCGGTGTATCCGACGGAAGAGGCGACGGCCCCAAATCAAGCGCAGAGACCAGAACTTGATGCAAGAGCAAGAGGTTTCTTTTTATTACAAGCGCGGCGCAGGGACTCGCAGCCAGACAGGCAGCAACCCGAGGGAAGTGCTGGCTGACTGGAGCCCCGAGCAATTGCAGAACACGGGTTTATAAAGGCAAAAACCACACGCAGGTGGCCGGAAAACAGGGAACTGGGTTACCAGTTAACTCATAACTCATCTTTTACAGGGACAGGTCTTTGTTATTAGTTGACTCATTTCCTAAGGGGCCAGGGTGGTCTGGTATGCGCAGGCCGATCCCGAGGAGTGATAAGATAACTATGCTATGACCAGATCAGGGCGCCAGAGCTTTACGGGAAAGGTCAGGAGGGGGAAGTTCTCTTTAATCTTTACATTAACCAGAGCTTACTGGAAAAGCTGGTCCAGGGGGAAAGGGGGGGGTTTTTCAGCGGCCTTACATTCCCCCCTTTTCTTGTGGGAAGTTCCAATCATGGAACTACAGGCTAATGTTTGAGGGTACAGGCTGATACCGCTGTTGGAGGACCATTACCTGAACTGCACTAATCCGGTCCTGGATGAAGGCGATTAAGCGGTTTACTATGCATGGCCCGAATGTCAAAAGGAGGAGTAAAATGATCAGGGGTCCCACGAGAGAGGATATCAGGGTTGTGAACCACGGTGAGCTGTTAAACCAACCTTCAAACCAGCCTTGTTTGGCTTCTCGCTCTCTTTTGCGAGTTTCTAATCTCTCCCTAAGTTTTGACATGGAATCCTTTATCACCCCTGAATGATCAGCGTAGAAACAGCATTGTTCCCTGAGAGCTGCACACAGCCCTCCCTCCTTTAAGAATAGGAGATCTAGTCCTCTCCTATTTTGTAGGACTACTTCAGACAAAGAGGTTAGAGACTCCTCAAGTTTAGTTATGGAGTGCTCTATATGTTTGAGGTCTTCATCTATAGCAGCTCTGAGCTCCTCAGTATAGGTGGGGCCTTTAATGAGGGCTGTTGTCCCTGTTCCTACTCCTGCCGCGACCCCTAGACCTAGGAGAGCAGCCAAGGTCAGTGAAACAAGTTCCCGTTTATCCCGATGGGAAGGAGAATAGGAGTCAAATTCTTTTTCAAATGCATTAGCTTGATAATACATGATCCTGGGGACTAGTTGGACAAGGATACAATAATCTTGAGAACGGTTAAAGGCCTGGGCTGCTAAACATGGAGTAAGTCCCGTACTACAGGCCCACCATCCCCCTGTTGGGGGCACTAAGTAATAGCTTGCAGAGGAGGGATATGCCAGGTTCTCCTTGCAGAGATGCTGGCGGTCCTTTGGCACTTGTCCTATACATGTGCCTTGCCCTGAGACCTCAGTAAGGGTCAACTTCCCCTGC